TGAGTGAACAGCAACATGAAAGCGGCTTCACGAGACTAATGATGAGCAAATATACAACAGAGAGAGAAGTAAATTTAGCATTTTTATTTCCAACATGCGCTCATTCATGGCTGCATATTTAATTCAGGCAAAGTTATGTCTTTATTGGGACAGGACTTGACGGATTATTTTACATGACTCCGTGAGTTGGTCTCTATTTCTTCGAGCCAAGCTGCATAAACTGCATATCAGGCATTTATGTAATGCATCTAATTTGTGCATAAATGGCTGTTATGTTAAATAAAGTTTACTAACTACAGCAAATCAAGTACCTGCACCATGCCGTTGTTGTTGTCTCGTCTCCCCTCAGACGCGCTGCAATGGCGATCCTGCGCGCAATTCTCAAAACACCCACAAGATGGCGGCGTTTATCGGTGAATCCGATATTACAAAACCGATATCCGATTATGGTAAAATGCTTAAATATCGGGAAAAATATCGGTAAATCGATATATCGGTCGATCTCTAGTAATCTCAATAAGCTTTGTGCTCTGTTACCTTTTAATAAACAAAGTATCAGCTTTAAAATTCTGCCAAATTCATAACTAAATTCAAACAATAAATGCCGTTTTGACACTCTTTAATGTGGCAGAGCGATCGCTTTAGCGCCTCAGTTCAAGCGGCACGTGAACCCATCATATCTTTCTCTTTAATATATAGTACGAAATAAACATGAATGGACATCAAAAGGTATATTATAAGATACAGTACATCTTACTGAAATGTCTCATGTAATCGCTCATTCAGTGTTTCATACGCCACATAAAAATACATTTACCTCAGAATAACCATTCAGCGTCCATAAGCTCATCAGTCAGCTAGAAAAAATAACTATGAAGAGGAGCATTTTGTTTAATAGATGTGCTATATTGCATTATCATATTTTTACTTAACCTGTTGTCTACATGATAAGAAAGAATGCAAGAAGCTAAAAATAAAATTCAGCACCTCATATGAAATTGCATGTTACTAATGAAGAAGAGCAGACTGGATGTGTGCAAGACATATGACAGCATTTATAAGATGCTTTGAGGAGGAGCCCAAACTACATTCAATGTCCAAGTGATGCTGAAATAATCCGTGATATTGGCACAGATTCTGTGCAATAATCAATTCTTTGTGACTGAATATAGTTCTGAAGTTGGAAAATAAGTTTTGTTCCCACGTTAAGTGAACCTTAGTTCCCAGGACATCTACAAGATGGATTAAAATGCTGATAAAGATGAGACATAAACACATGACAGTATGATTGAAATGTTAAAGTGTTCAAATAAATTCATATTTAAATTTATTTAAACACATTTATTCTGCCACACATATATTCTGTGGCACTGAAAAAAATAATAATTTGGGGCCTAATTTTGTTTTTTATAGAAGCCAATGGCTCCTTAATTGATTTGTTTGTCTGGAGCCCAGGTTAACGCTTCTGTTAAATGGCCAAGCAGGCAGTGTAATCGGACCTCCCAGTGACTGATTGACTTTCAATAACTATTGTATTTCATATCTGGATATTTCCTTTGAACTCACAACTCAAAATAGGAAGTGCATTTTTAAAGGAACATTTTGACCTAGTTTTTAAGTCATCACAAATAACCTGAGAAAAATAACTTTTTATGCATATTATGTGTTTTATGCACCTTCTTTTTTCAAGGTCCTCTCTGCTGCCACAATTGTTGCCAAACATACTTCGGCCTTGTGCAACGCCTGCCGACTCGCCTCCTCCAAAACATCCAACCCAGTTGCTAAGAGACAGTTCGTCCAGAGTGCCAAAGAGGTGGCGAACAGCACCGCCAACCTCGTCAAGTCCATCAAAGTGAGTTTGAAGACTCAGTCTGTTTCTGGTCAGCAGCGTTTATGTATTTGCGTTTGGTATTATTGGTGAATGTAACTGTGTGTGTGCTGTAACCTCAGGCTCTTGATGGGGCCTTTAACCAGGAGAACAGACTGAAGTGTAAGGAAGCCACTGGGCCGCTCATCGAGGCTGTGGATAACCTGACTGCCTTCGCTTCGAACCCAGAGTTTGCTAGCGTACCTGCACAGATCAGTCCAGAGGTACCACATTATATCACTGAATATAATACCGTTCAATAGTATGGGCCAGTAAGTTTTAAGATTTTTTTATTCTTTTTTGCTTTTATTCAGATAGGATGCATTAAATTTATCAAAAGTCATAGCAAAGGCTGTAAAACAAAAGACAGTCTACAACACATACAGTTTTCTGCATTCTGTTATATATTTAAAATCATGCCGCATATACAGTATACAAGCGGTTCATACAGTATAGAGCAAAATCTCATAAAAGAGCTGAGAAAGAGAAAAATATTAATTGTGCTCTCAAACTTTAGAAGTAGTGCATTTACTAGAAATAATGATTTCTGACTTTATACAAATTGAATAGAATAGTGTAAAATTGTCAGGGACATACAGGGCTCAGGAGTGGGAACCAGACTCCAGGCCGAAATAGAAAACCCTGTTTGGACCATGCTGGAAGTTGCATGTTCTGTTGTGTCTGATCGCAGGGTCTGGCAGCGATGGAGCCCATCGTAGCGGCCGCTAAGACCATGCTGGAGAGCTCTACAGGCCTGATCCAGACGGCCCGCTCACTAGCTGTCAACCCCAAAGACCCGCCCAAATGGTCTGTGCTGGCTGAACACTCCAGAACAGTGTCCGACTCCATCAAGAAACTCATCACCAACATGAGGTATTCACAGGATTTATATCTCTTATTCAACAGTCACCTAATAACAAGACTTAAGCCTATAGGTAAAGTCTGCCATGTCTGTGAAACCCTTAGCAGGTGGTTATGGGATAAATGGCACCAAAATGAACAAAAAAAGTCCCCCAAATTCAAGGTACAGAGGAAAAAATGCCCCTGAACAATTGAACTAAACGATTACCACTTCAGTGATGGGAACATCCTTTGCTCGCATTCTTCCATACAGTTTATTCCCAGTTTGAATCAAATGAATTTTGTTCCTCAGGCCACTAATATAACTAATGTGAAGTCTTGATTTTCTAATACATAAGAACTCATTAATAAACGGTCCTCAGCATGTTTCGTCTGTGTAGCCTACAAGAATATGACATGCCTTTTCTCAACACACAAACGCATTAATCAGTATTAATACTCATTATTAAAATATAGGCTATTTAAAATTGCATTAATCTCATATCATTAGGCAGTTGTTGTGTAAATACATGTATGTCATGTGGGATGCAGCTTCTGTTCCACCTTGGCAATTAAAGATGGCTGTTGTTGATGCTGATGAAATGTTGTTGACAACAGACTACAGTATTCTGATTGATTGAATTAAGTGATTACATTTAAATGTTTACTTATTAAATGTACATGTGTTGTTTTTTTTAAGGTCTAATAAGGTAGAAAAAAGCCTCAGGAAAAGTTCATTTCTGACCCTGTTGTGAAGTCACCTTTATTTCTATAGCACTTTATGCACTGCAGATTGTGTCAAAGCAGAGATATAGCAGAATCAATTATGGAAACTCAACTATGGAAGCTCTAAAGACAGTAGTGTTGTTATTTTGACAATACAGGGCTCTACGCTTATTTTTCTTTTTAGGAGCACTTGTGCTCCTAACTTAAAAAATTTAGGAGCACCCTCATAATCAATAATCCAAAATTTGATCAAAAATTAGCCTTTTGATCAAAAATTGATATTTGACTCCTTAAAGTGATTTACAGTGGAATTTTGTTTTTACCTTTGTAAGAGAAGCACAACAACAAGACCCCTCACCCGCAAACACACCCCCAGGAAAGCATTATGTACCCCAAGCTTTACGACTTCGAATTATGCAATGGGTTCATACTTCTCTCTGCTCGGGTCATCCTGGTATCTCTCCAACTAGTACAGAACTCTTTCTGGTGGAGTAACATGGCACGAGACATCACCAACTATGTCAAGTCCTGTCAGATCTGTGCTCAGTCAAAAACCCCAAAGGAATTACCTTCAGGTCTACTCAAGCCATTACCGATTCCTCAACGACCATGGTCTCATCTGTCTATCGACTTCATCACTGACCTCCCACCATCCAATAATAACACTACTATACTGGTTATCATCAGTGTTGGGAGTAACGCATTACAAAAGTAATAATATTACAGTAGTATATTACTTTTTGCTGTAACGCAGTAATATAACGCATTACTAATCAAATTTGGGTAATATTATTACTCGTTACAATGTCAGTAACGCAAGTTACAACAACATATTTTAACTCAAAATTAAGTGGTGAATTTACTAACACCGCAAAACAGCACCAGAGAAAAAATTCCGCGGGTAAAATAGTTTGTCTATTTCCTGTTGCTGGAATTAGATGGTTGAGATGACTGCAGAAGACGATTCTACATTTGTGAGATGGACACACTCCTGTTATTTTCAGTTAATCGGAGAAAAGGATAAGAATGCGACACCAAACTCTCAACATGGAGAAATAGCACGAGTAAAACCTGGAAACACTGGACTGGTGCCACTAACACTAAGCTACCGGAGAGAGCTGCGGGTTCGGAGACGAGAAAAAAAAGGCGGCGGACAAGCAACAAAAATTAAGTTTAACTAAACATAACAAAATCTGTTGTAACTTGCCCAACACTGTTCATAAACGAGACACCGCTGTGTTTGAATGGAGATGCGCAGCGGCTGAGCTGTGACATTGTTTCAAACTATTTTCGACACGAAATAGAGCAAAATCAGACAATAGTGTTATAGTCAGACAATGTAAGTCACTTAATATTAACTTCTTGTCTATTGAACTGTTGTATTAAATCAGTATCACATTTACAAACTCCCTTAAAAATCATTAAAAGCTGTCACTCATCTTAGCTCATCGCGATCTCACATTTATAATCAACGAAGCTCTCTACACTGCACAATGAATCTCTTATTTACACCGTCTACACTTTGCTTATGAAAGGATTCATGAGATATGTCTGTGATACATTACTCAAAGCTGCAAAAACACGTAGAAACCTTTGAAGCTCCCCTCAGCGATCACAATCACAAATATGATGAAGATCTGGCTCCTAAATATGTTTTCATAGTCGCACGCAGTAGTAGGTCGTACTGTAGAGCCCTGCAATAGTGTCAGATCAATTTGAAATGGAAAGTTCAGCTATAAGCAGTTCCACAAAGTCAGCGGTGTTGTTATTCAACTCAAGTCAGTTCAGTTCAATACCAGTATCCATGTTGTGAGATGTGATGCAGTTGTGAGTTTCCACGTATCATATTCATATGCTCTCATGTAAATGTTTTCAGGGAGAAGGCTCCAGGTCAGAGGGAGTGTGATGACGCCATTGAGGCTCTTAATAACTGCATCCGTGAGGTGGACAAGGCGTCTCTGGCAGCCATCAGCCAGCAGCTCACGCCTAGAGACGACATCTCCCATGAGGTGAAGCTTTACAGCGGTCATGATGAACTACAGCAATATCTTTAAAGCTGTGGGCGCAGATTTCATGTGGGCCTGCTAACGATGGTTATCATTGTTCTGAATCTAATAGAGCGGTATTGTAATATTGTGTTGTGTTGCAGGCTCTTCACGAGCAGATGGCGGCGTCTGTGCATGAGATCAGTAACCTGATTGAACCGGTGGCCATCGCGGCCCGCTCCGACGCCTCTCAGCTCGGTCACAAGGTCTCAGTCATTTCTAAACCTGTTTCAGCGGGTCTCAGTGTTTATTGGGAGCTAAATGTGCGCCGTCATCTCACAGGTGTCTCAGATGGTCAGTTACTTTGAGCCGCTCATCATGGCTGCCATCGGTACAGCGTCTAAGATCCTGAACAGCCAGCAGCAGATGAGCGTACTGGATCAAACCAAGACTCTGGCTGAGTCTGCCCTACAGATGCTCTACACAGCCAAAGAGGCTGGAGGAAACCACAAGGTGAGACGGCACCAGCCAAACACAGCAGCTGGTCATGATGGTAGTTTTGATCACATCTGTCCGAGATCTGCTGTAGTGCTCATTCTCACAGTACTCTGTGCGTCTGTGTCTGTGTCTGTGTGTGTGTGTGTCCTCAGGCGGCTCACACGCAGGAGGCTCTGGTGGAGTCGGTTCAGATGATGAAGGAGGCGGTGGAGGATCTGGCTGCGACTCTGTCAGAGGCAGCTAGCGCTACAGGAGCAGTGGGCGGCATGGTCAACTCCATCTCTCAAGCCATCAATAAGATGGAAGACGGGCCTGGAGTCGAACCTGAAGGAACGTTTGTGGATTATCAGACCACGATGGTGAAGACGGCCAAAGCTATCGCTGTCACCGTTCAGGAGATGGTAAAACCTAGTGCTGCAGAAATATGAGTGACTGCAGAATTAGGAAAAAGCCACTGTGGCTGGTGGGCAAAATGCAATATACATATGCACAAAACAGAATTAAGGTTTAGTACAGAATTCAGAAATACACTTAACTTGTAACAAAGGACATTACTAAAAAGTGTGAGAATAATGTATTCTAGTTAACCTGACAAGCATCCCTGACTAATTACCTTAAAAACATCTGATAAACTAAATATATTGTAACAATCAAACATTATACAGTGTTTAACAAACAAGTATTTTTTGAGTGTTCAAATATGAATATGCATGAAAATATATCAATCAAACTTTAATGATGAGCATGAAAAGCCGGTTAAACAGTGTTTAACAAACAAGTATTTTTTGAGTGTTCAAATATGAATATTCATGAAAGTATATCAATCAAACTTTAATGATATTCATGAAAAGCTGGTTAATTAAAGCTGGTAATGTTCTCGTGAATTATTGATTTTGTTTGGCTCATCTATTGGCTAAAGGACAGAGGCAGGCGCTAATCCGCTTGGCTCATGTGTAAAAGATTAGCAGACAATTAATAGTCATGCCTTCATTTTGCGTTCACAGCAGTAAACCTGTGCATGCTTTGTCTGTTGACGTCAGTGGAAGAGGACAACAAGCAGCCAATCGCAGAGTATATCATCTGCACCAGAGAGCACTATTTATAGACAAGAAAAGACTGACGGTGTGTTTTTGAAATGCTGTGTTGCCAGGTTACCAAATCCAACACTAACCCTGATGAGCTAGGCGGTTTGGCCAATCAGCTGACCACAGAGTTCGGTGACCTGGCGTCAGAGGCCAGATGTGCAGCCATGACTGCCGAGAATGACGAGGTATCGTGACACACGGCTCTCTTTTCTGTAGATTTATGGCTTTTCCACATAATATTATAATTCACATGAAACGGACTCCATTTACTGTTACTGCATGTTACTGGTCTTATTGAGAAATGTTTGTATTCCTAGTAAAGGAACATTATCAAATCAAAAGTTTGGGGTTGGTAAGATTTTTTTTTTTAAGTTTTAAAAGCAGTAATATTGTGAAATATTGATTCTTCAGAAATCATTCTAATATGCTGATTTGCTGCTCAAGAAACATTTCTGATTATTATCAGTGTTGAAAACAGCTGTGCTTCTCAATATTTTTGTGGAAACTGATACATTTTTTTTTTTAGAATACTTTGAATAGAATGTTCAAAAGAACAGCATTTATTTGAAATAGAAATCTTTTGTAATATGATACACACATTAACTGAATCCTTGCTGAATAAAAAATTCCAGTGACCCCAAACTTTTGAACAGTACAGGTGCATCTCAATAAATTAGAATGTCGTGGAAAAGTTCATTTATTTCAGTAATTCAACTCAAATTGTGAAACTCGTGTATTAAATAAATTCAGTGCACACAGACTGAAGTAGTTTAAGTCTTTGGTTCTTTTAATTGTGATGATTTTGGCTCACATTTAACAAAAACCCACCAACTCACTATCTCAACAAATTAGAATACTCCATAAGACCAATAAAAAAAAATTTTTTAGTGAATTGTTGGCCTTCTGGAAAGTATGTTAATTTACTGTACATGTACTCAATACTTGGCAGGGGCTCCTTTTGCTTTAATTACTGCCCCAATTCGGCGTGGCATGGAGGTGATCAGTTTGTGGCACTGCTGAGGTGGTATGGAAGCCCAGGTTTCTTTGACAGTGGCCTTCAGCTCATCTACATTTTTTGGTCTCTTGTTTCTCATTTTCCTCTTGACAATACCCCATAGATTCTCTATGGGGTTCAGGTCTGGTGAGTTTGCTGGCCAGTCAAGCACACCAACACCATGGTCATTTAACCAACTTTTGATGCTTTTGGCAGTGTGGGCAGGTGCCAAATCCTGCTGGAAAATGAAATCAGCATCTTCAAAAAGCTGGTCAGCAGAAGGAAGCATGAAGTGCTCCAAAATTTATTGGTAAACGGGTGCAGTGACGTTGGTTTTCAAAAAACACAATGGACCAACACCAGCAGATGACATTGCACCCCAAATCATCACAGACTGTGGAAACGTAACACTGGACTTCAAGCAACTTGGGCTATGAACTTCTCCACCCTTCCTCCAGACTCTAGGACCTTGGTTTCCAAATGAAATACAAAACTTGCTCTCATCTGAAAAAAGGACTTTGGACCACTGGGCAACAGTCCAGTTCTTCTTCTCCTTAGCCCAGGTAAGACGCCTCTGACGTTGTCTGTGGTTCAGGAGTGGCTTAACAAGAGGAATACGACAACTGTAGCCAAATTCCTTGACACGTCTGTGTGTGGTGGCTCTTGATGCCTTGACCCCAGCCTCAGTCCATTCCTTGTGAAGTTCACTCAAATTCTTGAATCGATTTTGCTTGACAATCCTCATAAGGCTGCAGTTCTCTCGGTTGGTTGTGCATCTTTTTCTTCCACACCTTTTCCTTCCACTCAACTTTCTGTTAACATGCTTGGATACAGCACTCTGTGAACAGCCAGCTTCTTTGGCAATGAATGTTTGTGGCTTACCCTCCTTGTGAAGGGTGTCAATGATTGTCTTCTGGACAACTGTCAGATCAGCAGTCTTCCCCATGATTGTGTAGCCTAGTGAACCAAACTGAGAGACCATTTTGAAGGCTCAGGAAACCGTTGCAGGTGTTTTGAGTTGATTAGCTGATTGGCATGTCACCATATTCTAATTAGTTGAGATAGTGAATTGGTGGGTTTTTGTTAAATGTGAACCAAAATCATCACAATTAAAAGAACCAAAGACTTAAACTACTTCAGTCTGTGTGCACTGAATTTATTTAATACACGAGTTTCACAATTTGAGTTGAATTACTGAAATAAATAAACTTTTCCACGACATTCTAATTTATTGAGATGCACCTATAAGACCGTAATTAGCTGGTTCAGCTGTGTTTAATTAGGGTTGGAGCTAAACTCTGCAGGACCGAGTTTGAAGACTTCTTGCATTGATGATTCCATGAAGAACTTGTAACCAGTGGTGTATAAAGTACCTGAAAGCCATACTCAAGTAAAAGTACAGATATCTTACCAGAAAAT